TGGCCCCCAAAAGTTTGAATGCTTCTCCTTCTTAGATAACAGAAACGAAGAGATTGGATAACAGTCCCTTTTATTCCTGCTGCTAATAAGCCTATAGCCAAATTAACCAAATGAGATGCTTAATCACAGCCCTGGTAGTTAGAGAGAGCGAGAGAGGCAGTGAAGGAGGAAAGAGATTGGTTTCATAGCTCAGATAATTATCAGATCCACATGCCCCTGCTTAGCAACACTGATACAACTTGGCTTTTAGAAAACAGGGCTTCTAACTGGGTTCCATCTGGCTTGACCCCTGCCAAGAATTTGCCTTCTTTCCACCCCAGCTAGACTGAATCACGAGGGGATGTGCGAAAGACAAATTCTCAGGGGCGGGTACCAAATTAGAATCAACCCGTCCGAGCCTGGGCAGCATTCCTCTCTTCCTTCTAACCCTCCCAGGACTCCCCTTGTTGGATGTCTTAAACCAGGGCCCAGGAAGTCTGCAGACATACTCCCAGGAGTGTGACGCTCCATATGAGAGTTTTGTTGATTGTTAATTAAGGAGCCCTGATGTTATAGTGGGTTCCATATGTGTTGGTCTATTAACCTCAAGGACAGCAGTTTGAACCCACCAGCCTCTCCTTGGAGGAGCCATGAGGCTTTCTGCTCCCCTAAAGATTTAACAGCCTCAAAAGCCCACAGAGGCAGTTCTACTCTATCCTATAGGGTAACTATGAATCAGGATGGACTCGAAGCCTTTTCAACGATTGAAAGGTTGCATGTGAAACAAGAGGAGGTGATTGTGAAGAATGTGTTGTGAGCCAGGGGTAGGTTTGATTGTTTCCAAGTGGGGGAAAATGTGTTGTTATGTGCAATTGACTTGGTTCCAGCTTGCAATGACTCTGTACCGCGGACAGGACCATGCTGGCCCTGTGCCACCTCACCTTTATTGCTATGCCTGAGCCGTTGTGGCAACCTCTCTGCCAGTCCATCTTGCCAAGAGTCTTCCCCTTTTGCTCTGCCCTTCTCCTTTACCAAGCACGATGTCCTTCTCTGGGACTAATCCCTCCTAATAACGTGGCTAACGTTCCAGAGACAAAATCTCACCATCCGTGCTTTTAAGGAGCCCCTGTCTGTACGTCTCCTGAGACCGACTTGTGCAGCCTGTGGACTATTCACTATTCTTTGCCGACACCATGACCCAAAGGCAACGCTGCTTCTTCAGTCAACCTTATTCCTGCCGACCTTTCGTATGCATCTGAGGGGGCTGAAAATACCACGGATACTCCAGGGTACTTAAGCCCCCAAAGTGACATCTTTGCTTGTTAACACTTTAAAGAGATCTTTTGCAGCTGATTTGCCCCGTGTAGCCTGTCAGCTGCTGGATTGCCTGCTGCTTCTAGGAGCAGTGATGGAGTATCCAAGTGAAAATGAGATCCTTGACAACTTCAAGCCTTTCTCCGTTTATCCTGATGCTGCCCTTGTGAGGGGTTTTGTTTTCTTTGTGGCGGTGTATATAATCCATATATTGAAGGCTGTAGGATCTGCCATCTTCTCCAGCAAGTGCTTCAAGTCCTCCTCACTTTCAGCAAGTAAAGTTGTGCCATCTGCATACCGCAGGTTGTTAACAAGCCTTCCTCCAGTCCTGACGCAGCGTTCTTATCTGGTCCGGCTTCTCAGATATTTGCTCAGGATACAGATTGAATAAGTATGGTGAGAGAATGCACACTTTCCCTGACTTTAAGCCATGTGGCGTCTCCTTGTTCTGCTCCAAGGGTGATTCTGTGTAAGCACAATTAAATGTTCTGGGAATCCCCACTCTTCACAGTGTGGTCCATGGTTTGTTCTGACCCACGCAGTTGACAGCCTTTGCATAAACAATAAAACACAAGTAAACCTCTTTCGGGTCTTCTTTGCTTTCAGCCAAGAGCCACATGACATCAGCAACGGTCCGCCTCACCCCATATCCTCTTTGGAATTCACTTTGAATTTCTGGCAGTTCCCAAATGCTGCAGCCATTTAAACAATGTCTTTTTTCAACAAGATTTCTACTTGCATGATAGAAATGCTGCTGTTCGATCATTTCCACATTCTGTTGTGTCCCCTCTCTGTGGAGTGGGTACAAAGAGGCAGTTGGTTAGCCAGGTCGCTGTCTTCCGGATGTCTGCGCATAGATGAGTGTCTGCCTCCAGCGTAGCGTCCGTGCGTTGGAACATTCCGATCGGTTGTCTGTCCATTCCCGAGCGTCGTTTGTTGTCCATGCTTTCGGTGCGTCCGGACCTCTTCCTTTGTTCCGTTGGTTTTTGCTCAGAGGCTGTCTCCTGAAATGGCTGAGCCTCAACCAGTTACTGTGGATGCAGCGATGCGGTGCGTTCCCTCCACCTTCATGTTCATTGACTCGTTTCTTTAAACAGTTTTACTGGCAAACAATTCGTCTGTCACACAGTCCCACAGTGCCATCACCTTCACCAGAGGGGTGCAACCATCACCACACTATCGATTCCAGACTATGTCTGCTTCCTGGTACTCGTTTTTTAGCTCCCCATTTCCCACCCACCACCCCGGCCAGGTCCCTTTGAAACTATTCATCCAGTTGTTGTCTCTTATCGGAATGAAACAGAGAAAAGCCTTGGTCGGAGACAAAATCGAAACTATTAAAAACTGGAACAACTATACATTGGATCAGATACTATCTTCTTTTGTTGCTTCTTCCTGCATCTTTCTGTCTTTTTTGCCCATAGAATCCTCCACCTACCGCAACTCAAGGCCTGACTTGTTCTCCCCTCAGCTCCTTCGGCTTGAGGAATGGCCGGCAGTTTCCCTCCCTGCGGTTCTCTGATTCCAGGTCTCTGCACCTTCCCATAAGCACTCAGGGGCAAACCCCTTTGCCTATACCTCAGCCAGTCATTGCCCAGAGACTGCCATCCCAGCACCTCGCCAGCAGCCATCATGTTCATGCCATGAACTTGAACGCCTGCCTTTGTTTTGCTCTCCTAACTGCTCGTTGTTTCTTTGATGCATATGGAAGCAACATTGTACTTTAAATGACTCCAACTGGCCCTGGAGTTATTGTATACTAGGAAGTTCAGAGCGAATGGAAATCTTTTCCACCAGAACTCCACACTGCTCAGGAGAAGGCCTGTGCTTAGGATGGGGGTGGGGTGGGGGTGTGTGTGAAGGGGTGGCAGCAGGGAGGGTGCTGTCTCAGGCTTGAGGAGCATTCCCTTGGCCTATGTCCCAGAACCCCCGGAAGGGACCCCACAAGGCCTGGATGCAGCAGGTGCACCCTTTGCTCCCTAAGCGGGAGGAGGACATGGAAGGGAGAGAAACCTCAGAGGCCGCATTCCAGAGCCCCGCCCAGTTCTCTTCTGCCTCTGCAATTGGACATCACTGTCATATCATTTCCACTTTCCCCGGCTTTGTGGTCTAGAATGTAACATGAACTGATATGCTACCTCCCCCAGGGGATGTAGCTGGCTGGGAAATTGTCTCCAACTAAAAAGGGGCATATAGGTGTATATATAATGATGCTCCCCTTTTTCCTCCGCTCATCGTAGTCAGGCACCACCTTCGGAATTGTCCTCGCAGACTCAACTGGGCAAAACTGATGGCCCTCTTTTTCCTCATTTGCCCTGCCAGCCCCTCTGGCACACCTCTTTGGTCTTGATTTTAATGGCATTGTTTATGGCCCCAGAGGTCCCGGATGCTCCTCTGAAGGTGATGAATGCATCAGCTAAGAAGTCAGCAACTGCAAGGTCAGGGTTTCCCTATTCAGAATCAATATTAATGGGATTCAGTGACCTCGGGTTGGCCTGCAGCAACATTATAGAGCAGATGGGATTTGTCTCCGAGCCTCCTCGCTGCTGCTCTGAGTGCTTGTTCTTCTGTGAGGAAAGAATGCACTCACACTAACCACCCACTTGTCCAAATATGTGAGGGCTGCTCTGGTCAGTTGAGGGTCCAAGATGGCCTCACCCGCATGTCTGGCCCTTGGTGCTGGGGTCCATCTGGGTGCCTCCATCCTCTCATTCATGCTGCGATTATTGTTAGCTGCTCCCAACCTGGCCCTTACTCACAGCGACTCCACGCACAATGAGATTGGACCATTGCTTTCACTGGCTGGTTTGGGGGGACGTTGTGGATTACTGGGCCTTTCTTCCTCCTCTTTGTCTAGAAACAGCTGAAATGGATCCAGCATCATGAGCAACGGAAACCTCCACTGGTAGTTGTGCTTGAGGTGCATTGGCTGGGACTCGAACCCGGGTCCCTGCTTGGAAGGCAAGAATTCTATCCCCGAACCACCACTGCTTTGTAAGAGATCGATCAGATGCCAGGCCTCAGGGCTTTCTCCTTCCTGCTTCCGTTGAAAAGGCAGGATGGCTAGGCGTCAAGAGAGTGGACAGTGGGCGCTTTGGGGCCATGCAGCCCGAGTCTGAATGAGGGCTCTGCCCTCTTCCTGTGTGTTCTCAAGCTGGCAACTTGCCCTCGCTGAGCCTCAGTTCCCTCTTTGTTCTTTCCTTTTAATGGCTGTACCCCCAAAGCCCAGCAGCACGTGACCTGGCTCGGGGGAAAGTATTTAATATGGTTAAATAAATCAGTGGCTGTTAAGGTTGTTGGAATGAGAAAAAAAAGTGTGTGTGTGTGTGTGTGTGTGTAGAGAGAGAGAGAGAATGTTGACTGCATCAGGAAAAAGAATTCCTTCTAGAGTACTCAACTTTATATATGTGTGTGTATTCATATATGTAAATTATGAATTTAAATATATTACATTGTGTGCTTCTATCAAATAGGCATACATATGTAGAGAAAGCTTCTAGTAAAATGCCTGGCCTGTAGAGAAGCAATTGATAAATGGTTTATAGTGGCCTTTTCTCAAAGGAAGTGGGTCGAAGAGCGAACACATTTGAGGCAGTGGACAGAGAGTTCGAGGTGGCAACATAAGCCGTGTAGACTGTCGGTGGCCCGTGTCTGCCGGTGGGGTCCCCCACGTGCTGAGTTTTCTCCCTCTTGTGTCCCCTCTGCAGCTGGAGCTCTCCAACACGGCCATCTTGCACCAGATGCGGCGGGACCAGGTCACCGACACGTGCAGGGCCAACAGCGCCCTGAGCCGCAAGCGCCGGGTCCTGACCCCCAACGACCTGAAGCACCTGGTGGTGGACGAGGACCACGAGCTCATCTACTGCTACGTGCCCAAGGTGGCGTGCACCAACTGGAAGCGGCTCATGATGGTCCTGACGGGCCGGGGCAAGTACAGCGACCCCATGGAGATCCCGGCCAACGAGGCCCACGTCTCGGCCAACCTGAAGACCCTGAACCAGTACAGCATCCCCGAAATCAACCACCGCTTGAAAAGCTACATGAAGTTCCTGTTCGTGCGCGAGCCCTTCGAGAGGCTGGTGTCGGCCTACCGCAACAAGTTCACCCAGAAGTACAACATCTCCTTCCACAAGCGCTACGGCACCAAGATCATCAAGCGCCAGCGCAAGAACGCCACCCAGGAGGCACTGCGCAGGGGGGACGATGTCAAGTTCGAGGAGTTCGTGGCCTATCTCATCGACCCGCACACCCAGCGGGAGGAGCCCTTCAACGAGCACTGGCAGACCGTGCACTCGCTGTGCCACCCATGCCACATCCATTACGACCTCGTGGGCAAGTACGAGACGCTGGAGGAGGACTCGAACTATATCCTGCAGCTGGCGGGCGTGGGCAGCTACCTGAAGTTCCCCACCTACGCCAAGTCCACGCGAACTACTGACGAAATGACCACGGACTTCTTCCACAACATCAGCGCCGAGCACCAGACGCGGCTCTACGAGGTCTACAAACTCGATTTTCTCATGTTCAATTACTCAGTGCCAAGCTACCTGAAATTGGAATAACGGGGGCGGGGCGCCGCTGGGGAGAGGGAGAGAGAAGCGTGCTGGTTGTTTTTTTTTTTGGGGGGGGGCGGGATTGTTTCTGTTTTTAATTTAAGAGTTCTATGTGTCAAAAGAAATATATGGATAGTGGGTTATTTTGTAAATTAATATTTCTCTGGGGTTGATGCTGCGAGCAGCATGGTGAGAATTATTTAAAAAAAAAAAAAAACCAACAAAAAAAACCCTGAAGTTGCGAAGGACCGCTGTCTTTGCAGGGGACTGGGGTGGCCGTCCTGGGTCCCCGAGATGTCCTGAGTTCTGGAGAACTCTGACTTGTGCATTCCATACATGCTAATGGATATTATTTATAGTTATTTAAACACGGTCTCCTTAGAGTTGTTTGGGCGGCAGCAGTAGCCTCAGGTCTTCCCAGAAGGGAGCTTGGTGGTGGTGTATGTTGAGGGCTAGGGTGCATGGAGGGGCAGCACACAGAGCCTGGTGTGCTACGGCCCCAGGGGCGGAGTATTGATGCCCCGGCCCGTTTTTGAACTCCCAATAGAAGTCAATCCCCAAGAAGCACCTTTGCCAGGGATTCACTCAAAACCAATTTCATTCAACCCGAAAGCCCCTTGCAACTAGAGAAATGTGATGTCTTGTCTTTTCTTTCTTTTAAACCCAGAGAGAGAGAAAGCTGGTGGTAGCATTTCCTTCTTTCACCAGAATGATGCTCCGCCCCCCCCCTCAACATTTTGCTAACTGGCAGGGCCAGTTGAGGTGAAGGTCGCTGTGGCCATCGCTTTATACCCAACACGTATTTATTGAGCACCTACTCTGCGTTGGGCGCCGGGATGCAGCTTTGGACGAGACCCAGAGCCTCCACCCTCAAGAAGCTTTTCCATGGGACACAGAGCATCCGACTGGGCCGCTAATGAACCTCTGACGTTTGTGGACTCCACGTGAGCTGTGGGTTATTGGAGTCACCTCCGAAGGTCCATGACCCCTAAAAAGGTGCAGGTTTTTTTAATGGCACACATCTGAAACCCACATGCTTAGAGCAGACCACTTAACTTGGTGGGTGCTCCAAGCTCATATTCCAACACAAAAGAGGACCGTGCTCTCTCCGCCCCCCAATTTTTTTCCTCTGACATGCTCCTGTTTAAAAGTATTGGGAGTATCTGCCTGTAAGTCCCAGAAAGGATCTGCCAGGCTCCATGTGGCAGAGTTCTGGGACTAATTAGTCATGTCTGCCATGGGAGAAGGGAGAGGAATGGGTCTGTTTGCAGCTGGTATCTCCAGCCCAGCATCCACATCCCGGGTAGAAAAGTAATGTTTTTCTACTCCTTGCCACAGCAAGGTTCATCCCTGTCTAATGTAGGTACCCCTCGTGAAGGTCAAGGATGGGCTCTCTGTGCACATGCTCACACATGCACGGCCTCCCAAGCCCACCAAAGGCCAAGAGACCAACTGCACCACTACTACAGCTGCAATGCATGAGTGGCAAGGATGACTTGTGGGGCCCCTGTCCATCCTGGAGACCGATGCTTCCAACTTCCCATTTCTCGTTCATTGCCAACTACACAAACATTTCCCATGGCCCAAGGCTGGCTATTTCCCACAACTCTCAGTGGAAGTTTGAGCCTCATCCCTTTTACTGCTAGTGAATGAATTGGTAGCAGATACTGTATATAATGATGATGATGATGATAATAATATTTCTAATAATAGGGGGTAGGGTGGGGTGGGATATGGGTATGTTTTGCTTACTGTTTTATTTTTTTTTTATTCCATCTGTTTAGAGAAGAGGCGAGAAGAATATTCTAAACAACCAAAAAAGAAAAAGAAAAACACCCAAATAATTTATTCACAGAAAGCTAGTAGAATTGTATTGTAAAACTCACACAGCAATCTCAATGAGCAGCAGCTGCAGCATCGCACCAAGGAAATTTTATTTAGTGTGCACGAGGTGTGCACCAGGGAGTATAGTGGAAGCTATTTATAAAACACCGCAGCCCTTCTTCCAAGCTCTCTCTCCCCTTGGTGAAGGACAGGGTGACCCTAACCTTGATGGGTAGAGATTGATGTAACGTTGTTGGACTAAATAGTGTCAGACTACAGGCTGTCTCTGGGATTGGGATTCTGGCCTCATTTCCAGGCAGGGGATTGCTGTTCTCACAGAAGGTCCACAGGCTCTTGGGAAGCCGTGTTGAACTGGGTTCCCTCATCCATGCCTTTTCAGAGCCTTGAATGTGCCCTGTGCAGAGGGAGCCCCGAGGAGTGTCACTGAGTCATGAGGGCCACCTGACAGTCTACAGCTAGGATATAGTACTGTGCAGGTCATCTCTCAGAGCCAGCGCTCCTCGGAGTATACTTTGGTTGGTTCAGCACATCCTGGGTTTGGGTGTGGTTTAAGAAAGCCCTGGTAGTGGAGTAGGCAAAGCCTTGGGCTGCTGACTGAAAGGTCAGCAGTTCCAATCGAGCAGCCATGCCTCAGGACAAAGACGAGGCTTTCTGCTCTCAGGAAGGCCGACAGCCTCGGACACCCAAAGGGGCAGTTCCATGGTCAGATGGGGTCTCTGTAAGTCAGAATTGACTCGGTGGCCGTGGGTTTGGGTTTTTGTCAGTGGTGGTTTTTGAGTCTGGTTTTCTTTTGAAGTGTTCGAGGATAAAAACTGCCTCCCTGCTGCCCCCCTTGCAAAAGGAAAACAGAACACAGCAACAGAGGTCCGTCCTCAAAGGCATCCCGTTGTCACTCAGTGCCTGGATACTGCCATGGGCCACCAGGCCATCCCTGCCCCCACCGAGCGGATGCCAGTCTTGGGTGGTGTGGACAGAAGGGAGGGAGCAAGGGGTCTCAGGCCTCAGAGTGGCCCCCTACTCCTCCCAGCCTTAACAGATGCTCCCTGGGGACAGAGTGACTTCAGCTCTGGACAAATGCGTCTCCAGTCCCTCGGTTTGGAAACCGCTCACTGTGCTTTCTTTGCTTTTTCAATGGGCATTCACGAAGGCTTCCCTTTCGCATGCCCGCACCCTCTCTGCGCTCAGCATGGCGTGCACGTCCTTCCTCTGCGGTGTCTCCTCTCGCTAAGTGAGGAAGATCGCCCTTCGGGAGGCTCGCCATCAGCAGGTGTCAGAAAAGAGAGACTCTCTCGTGTTGTTTGGCGTTCACATTTTGTTTTCTAATGGCATATAAATGCTTTTTTTTAAATGCTCTCGAGTGAGTTATAGAATCTAGAAAGTATGCTGTACCCTTGGTTTTAAAAAAAATGCATTGTTTGGAAATGTGCCTGGAAAACAAAAGTTGGAATTATTAAAAAAAAAAAAAAGTTTGGAAACAGTCTGACGTGCATAACTGAAGAAAAGTCCAGGCAGGTGGCCTCAAAGGTGCAGCTGTGTTCGCCAAACCAGGTGCACTCAAGGTAGTGCAAAGTCAGGTAGTCAGGGGATCAGGCCTGCTTCCTTTGCCCCTTTGGTGGGAAAAGTCTTACGAGGTGCAAGGTTTGATTGGCTGCAGCTTCACCACCACCTGCTCCCTCCCCTGCCACCCCCATCAGCTCTCCCCAGCTGGTCTGGGAAGAAGGGCAGCCCTGGACTGAGGGTCCCTTGAAGGGAGCGTTCATTCTTTCTGCCCACAAGGCCAGCTTCGCCATCCTGCCTGCCCTGCATCCAAGCACTGCTGATGAGCAGGGAGCAGTGGAAACGGCAGCCGGACCTCCTTCCCAGGGGCCAAGGCCTGGAAGTGCAAGGGTACAACCCCAGGCCTGAAGCTTCACAATCCCAGCTCCCAGCATGCTTAGAGGGCGGGGCCTTGGGGTGCACTGAGACAGTGCTGGCAAAAGTCCCTGTTCTACCCGTGAAGGAAGCGAAGACCCTTTTAGTATCCCTGGTGGGTAGATGTCCTGAGCTCGTCTCTTTGCCCGGCCCCAGCACGCATGGCATGCAGGCACGCAACCTAAACTGCCCCGCTCTGCAATCAGGTGGTCCAAACCACTTCTTTGTACCCCTCGTAGGTCAGCAGGACTGACCCCTTCACCACCAATTGAAGCCCATCAACAAGCAACAGAACTTTCTAGAACCAGCTTGACCCTGGGCCATTAACAGGCACATTTCAACCTGCGAACTTTTTCATCAGGTACAGAAGGACATGCTCTGTGTGGCATAGTTGACATTTCATTTGACACTTTTGTGAAGTATGCTTTTTTGAAAATTTTTCTTTCCACACATTTGTATGCAGTAGAGGGCTCGTTGTCGAAAACTCTCCCTGTGTCATACTGTACCGTGAAAGCTGGATTCCACACGGCCAACAACAGCGTGGCACGTTCACAAACCTTCCTCCAGGAAAAGCCATCCACGCCGGATTATTTTTCTAAGTAACTTCAATTAAATTGAAGGAAGAAAAAAAAAAAGAAGCTTCTCTCTGTCTGGTTTGTTCATGGCTCGTTGACAGAAGACTGTAGGGATGGGGGTGGGCTGGGTTGATCAGCATGTGGGGGGCCCTGCTCATGTGTATCCGAGGAGGAACACGGGCCCCGCCCCCCATGGGCACATTCAGCCGTGGTCAAGACTTCCCTAGACCCTTTCTGTTTATTGGAAGAATGAAAGCTCCCTTCATTCTGTTTTGTCTAGAGACTATTTATGGAGCGGTGTGACACCAGTCACCGCCCCCATGATCATGTCACGTTACCGCTCATTACAAACAAGGAAGCGGAGTGTCTAGTGGGTGAAATGGCCGAGTAGCAGAGCCAGTATTCAAACACAAGCTGAGGTGTGTGGCCTTAGAACCCCATGCTTTTTTGCAGTAAATGACATACTTCATGACTGTCCTGGCCCTCAAACCAAACCTTTCTGCCATTAAGTCAATTCCAACTCATAGCCACCCTCTAGGACAGGGTAGAACCATCCCTGGGGGGTTCTGAGACTAACTCTTGACAGTAGTAGAAAGCCTCACCTTTCTCTCCTGGAGCGGCTGGTGATTTTGAACTGCTGACCTTGTGGTTAGCAGTCTAAGGTATCACCCACTATGCTATTAGAGCTCCTAGCATCCATGGCCCTATTGCTGAGA